AGCGATCAGTCTCTGTCCTTCTTCAACGAGCCTATCCCTCTCTATTCGAATGTCGCTCAATTGTTTCTCCAAAAGAACATTCTTCTCCTGAAGATCCATACCTGGCAACCTCTTCCAAATAGGAACCCTGCAGACTCGACTGCTGCTCACTTTCGTCTACAAGCTTCCTTATTTCATCTTTCCATTTCTGCGCTTTGGCTTCATAATTGTCGCTTTCATTTCTGAGCTCATTCAGCTCGGCCTTCGCCTGCAAGTATCTTGAAGCTCAGGATCACTCAATGGTCACGGCAGCCTCCAACAACGCCTCACCGTCGTTCCATCATTGAACTCTCCGCCCTTTGAGTCTCGAGATCAGCTTCTAGTCGAGCGTTCTCAGAGCGTAAAGATTCGTACCGATGCTGTGGGCAACCAAAGCGGAGACACAAGGTCAGTGCACCTTACATCTGATAACTCATGAGCGCTCTCCATTTGCTTGCACTTGGACTCAGCTGTGGTGGCCTTCTTCTCCAACGCCTCGATTTGTCTGAGATGCCTGCGGGGACGTGCTGGCCCCTACGCCTCTCAGCGGAGAGTACTTCTGCTTTTCCATCTCGAGACGATAACATCGCCGTTGGGCAAGGCCGAGGAGCTGCTTCGTGGCCTCCAACTCTTCCACTACAGTTTTTGACCCTAATCAAGGTGTCTCTGGTTGTGAGCAGATAAGAGTATGCACCTTGCGTTGGCTCCTGTGGTTCGAGAGTCACCTTTGGGCTCTTGCCAGAAATGTTGGTCATGAAAAGCCCCGTCCCTGGGGAGGCTGCCATCACCAACCGCTTAGACATTCTAACTCTACTGAGTGCCAATTCCGAGTCCGACAATCAATTGAACGCAATCTTGAATAGTTCAACATCACCATGGGCAACTTCATGTTGGCGTGTTTTCTCCAAGGCGCGGTTCCTCTGAGATACCCGTCGGTGTAATAGTAGCAGTCGTTGTTGTGCCTTGGGAAAGCAGCAGCAATAGCATGGCAGTAGCTGCACGTACCATGCTTCACAACAGTGCTAATGCACGATCGCCTCATACTGTCCTTACACCCCATACGCTCCTCTATGACGGGATGCTCGATGACAGCATCACGGACGGCAACCATCTTCGAGAACGAGTATTCTTGGGTTGGCGGTCTCCAACCCACTTTGCTTTCCATCATCTCCCGTATTGTCCGGAGTTCTATAAGGATCTTTTCCAGCAGCTCGGCCGCTCTAGATGCTCCCGAGACAGACTCCATCGCTGGCTCGGCTTTCCACGCCTACAACGAGTGGGTTCAGTGCCACTCAGGCCTCCCCATCTCACGAACATCCGCTGGTCCTGAGCGGTTATGTGCCGACACTGTGCGGTTTCCATCCGATCGTGAGAAGATCTTCCTCATTGCTCCCTAACACGTCGATTAGCATTGGGGCTTAGATGATCGATCTCACTGTGAATGCTGTCACGATAGAACTCCAGAAGCTCCTCCTGCTCCTCACAGACGGTGGAGCATTTCGCAGTTCGGAGAGCTCCTCGTTGGCCTCTCTTTCCAGCATCTCGTCAAGCGCCTCGAAGATACGACTAAAGGCCGCTTGGTCGACCTTCCCATTCCGCGCTTCCTCTTGGCAACCTCTGTCACGATCGTCTCATGAGGCCGGCTGAAGTTCGAACTTTTGCTTACGCTTCTTTGATTGCTCTCGGTATGTTCACTTTGAGATCAAGGCTTTCATAGTCGCCCATGATGGCTTTGCACGCCCGGACCACTCCAGCACTGTCGAGGTACCCTACCAGGCCGGTTGAGGCTTACGGAGATTACTGCTGCTACCGAGTCCACTATGGTCAGCCTCACGGAAGGCCTTCGCTATAGCGCCAACACTCTCTTTTTCGCGGTGGAGATCATCCTCGACATTGGCATCAGCGTGTTCTGCTATCGTTCCTGGTAAGGGCACGATCATCTATAGGCCTGTTGAGGAAGTTGACTACTTGAACTCAACGAGTAATAAAGGATAATCAACTTCAAATCACATGAGCATGCAGTCTCTCGGGGGCACATCTCTCGCGATGAGGGGACGGTCCGGTATCTGGGGCCCCATAGGTCGACGAGAACTTCATCTCATTGAAGTCATCACCTTGCAACCTGCAGGTAAGGGCTGGTCTTCCCATGGGTCGACGTCTATGGTGGCGGTGAAGATCTTCACAGGCTTGCATGGGCATTCCTTTCGGCACTTAACCGCTTCGATGTCAGACAGGACCTAGTAGGAGCAGGGCCTGGTAGGATCACATGAGCTCCTCCTCGCTCACATGCCAGCACGCCTCAGGCACGCTGCCGAATATAGTATGTCGGCCATCGAGGTGGTCCTGTCTATTGAGTGTTATGAAGAACTGACTGCAGTTCGTATTGAAGCCAGTGTTGGCCATCGAGACGACGCCTTTTCTATCATGGGATAGATGCGAGCAAATCTCGTCTCGGAAGGGCGCGCCATAGATGCTCTCGCCGCCTTTAGGGAGAACCATATGCGAATTTCCTAATAAGTCAACATGTATTATAACAGCATACGCTTGTTCAACCTCGAGCAGTCGTGCTCCCCCCGATGGCCGTCATGAAGGGGTCAGGGTCGCCAGTCTGGCAGAGAGAGCCCTTGACCACTCTATGGAAAATGCATCTGTGTGAGCATGGTGTTATCGTGAAGTGACCAAGGTGTGGTACCCATCATAGTAGCCGTTCTTGCATAGTTCAACGAAGTTCCGACAGGCTCTGGGGGCCTCGTTTACGTACAGGTAGATCTTTATAGCTCCATGAGTCGTATTCAGCGTTACTGCCATTCACAGAGGAGCCGTACGGTGGCAACCAGAGGCTTCAACAGTACTCATTGACAACGCAAGAGAGATATAGATTCGCAATAACAATCATCGTATTTTGTAATTCCCAGGGTGATGGTTTAGCCGATTCATCCCGGGGTATGGTACCAACAAGAAAGTCATATTAGGCATTATAGAGGTATATCGATGAAAACAACATCATCATTAAGATGATAATGAGCACCCTATATGGCCTGACGGCACGCCTTGAGGGCATCGAGATAGTATCTGTACAGCGAGAGGGATCGACAGTAGAGCCGTGAGCCGAGGTCGTACTGGCAATGGGACGCCTCTACTGCTTGGTCCATGCACTGGGTGAGCTGGTCCTGCTGTACTTGGCAGACATTACTAGAGTTCTGACAATACACTAGCATGCACAGTGGCCTACCATCACTGCCTTTACCTGGCTGACCTGCTGTTGTTGTTGTGGTGGTGGAGGGGGAATTGGATCGCCCTCGTGTCTATGAACGACTTCAGTTTGCCGGGGGCCAATCACGGCATCGACGGCTCTATTGGCCATAGAGAAGCCAGCACCAGTGGCCATACCTGACCAGAATAGGACTATCAAAGGGGGTAGTCGTAGTGTTCTTACCAGACATCATGGACCCAGCAATACCTCCCATCATACCGCCCCCGCCTCCCTGGGCAGGCGGAGGGGCGTGATGGGGGGCTGGAGGGGCTGCAGCACGGCGGGGCTGTGGAGGAGCGGCGGGTCTACGGTTGAACCAACCACCTGAGGATTTGCTTCTGTTCCATTAGTGCGATGATGATATGGAAAGGTGATGATTGGTTACCTCCACTACTGGGTGAGGGGGACCGACGGGGTCCAGAGGAGCGAGCACTACTACGTCTAGGCATTTACTCTTAGTGAGCACTAAGCTGAGTATTGTATTCAATCCTACCTAGTACAGATGTGACTAGGATGCTGATACAAAGTGGAGTCTACGTGGACGCGGCGGCGCACGACTTGAGCCTACTTGCATATCTTGGATTTTCTCAACGTGCCCAAGCGCTCAGAATTGAACGGTGTGACCTCTTGTGAATTTCAAGAGCGCTCTCAAGATTGGCTTTGACGTGGAAAAACTCGATACTGGGAGCTGTTTTCCAGAGAGGACTATTGGTAATACTACACCTTGGTCATTGTCAGTGACCACCACCACCATCTATGCTTGCTCGAGCCATCACCTCTAGTGCGCACTGTGTACGCTTCTTCACGA